GAGGGGAAGGGGGTCAGCCAAGGGCTGGGGTCCCCCACCACAGCCGGTCCTCTCCCAGAGCCCTCATGCCCGCTTGCCCACCAGTAGCAGCCAGAGCATCGCCACGGTGACCCCGTATACTGGGGGTGGCTGCAATGGCTGATACCCAGGGCTGAGGTGGGGGCCCGGGAGGGGGTCAAGGTGGGGCTGGGGAGCCTCTACCTCAGGATCGAGGAGCCAGCAGGCCCAGGAAGCTCCCAAGGATCCGATCTGGTCTGGCTGGACTGGCCAGGGCTGGGCCAGGCCTGCGGGTGGAGGTGGGGTAAAGTGGGGAGAGCGGACAGATGGCTTCCAGGGCCTTCCCCATGGGCAGGGTTGCCACAGGCACCCAGAGTCCAGGAGGGGCTCCCCACTTCATCAGCAGGCCTGAGCGTGAGTCAAGCAATCCGCAGACGGGGAATTAGGACCCTGCTGCCCTGAGCTGACAATGCGGGCGCGTCTCCTCCCCTGGACACTCCCAGCTCTCCACAGGGCACTAGAGATGCACTCATAGCCTCCTGGGCCCTGAGCCGGCAGGTGAGGAGGGGCTGGTCAAGACGTGCCCCCGGGGAGTTTAAGGGGCTGCAGGCCGGCCCAGGGGCCCACGGGGGACGGCTGCAGAGAATGATGGCAGACTCTGTGCTAGAAACTCATAGCTGAGCATATGGGAGCATGAGTGGGGGACATACCGATGGAAGGAAAGATTGACACGGAGCTGGGAGTAAGGAACCGGCAAAGGAGGCTCATGCCGTGCACCTGCGGAGATCGGTGGGGGCTTCCCTGGCAGAAGACGTTCTGAGTTAGGCAGGGGGGACTCCATGGTCAACGTAGGGGTCCCCAGGGCACCTGGTCAAACCAGATGGGAGAGAGGAGGGGGGCTTACCCTAGGCCTTGATGTGAGTGGACCCCTCACCTTCCCCCGACTCTGAAGAATCTCTGGTTGAGGCCTCCTAGCTGCATTCCCAGAACACCCTGGCATGGGGCCCGGGGAACACCCCCCCACCCCGGGAGCAGTGTCCAAGCCTGGTCAGCAGGGAAGGGGTGGCAGTGGGGGACCCGGCCCCCTCTCTTGAGATGTTCCAGTCACAGCCCCGGCTTTGCCCCCTCAGAGGTGCCACCTCGAGGAGATTACACGCCCTCCGGTAGGATGTCACACCCCACAGGCCTCTCCTCCTGGCTTGTGTGAGGATTAAAGCAGCATTTCCCAAAGTGTGGCTGGCTCGTGGGCTGCCCGTGTGGGAATTCTGGGAGCGTCTAGGAGGGAATGAGGAAGCACTGATCTTCATTTTACTCTGATTTGTTTATCTAATACTTGTTATTTCTTTTTTTTTTTTAAGATTTTATTTATTTGTTTGAGAAAGAGAGAGCATGAGCAGGAGAAGGGGCAGGGGCAGAGGCAGAGGGAGAAGCAGGCTTCCCGCCGAGTACGGAGCCGAACATGGGGCTCGATCCCAGGACCCCAGGATCACGGCCCCAGCTGAGGGCAGATGCTTAACCGCCTGAGCCACCCAGGCGTCCCTAATATTTTTTATTTCTATTGAAAAAAGTACGCCACTGCCGCCTGAAACCTTCAGTTTTTTAAAAGATTACTGTGAAAGTCAAGGCTAAGTTGAAAAAAGAGAAAGACAAAAAGAAAGAGAAGCAGAAAGACATGATCTAAGTAAAATAGTAATATAAGTGGAACCAGTGGTATTTATTCCTGGCCTCTTCCCCCCCTCCACAAGACAACCCCGTAAGAACAGGAATTTTATCTGATTTGTCTCCAGTTGCGTCCCCAGTGCTCAGAACAGTGCTTGCTTGGCATGTAATAGGTGCTCAATAAATACTAGTTGAATGAATAGTAAAAATTAAGAAAACCACACTCAAATGTCTGCCTTTGAGCAAATAATGGAATTACATACAGAAAACCCTCAGCAGCACCCAGCACATAAGAATTGTTAAAAAATATTCATTCACACACTTACTCTTATGAAAATTATTATTATTTACAAGGACAACAAATAGGCATTCTGGCCAAATGCTGACCAGCTGAGCATTAAAATCAGGATACGCCCAAAGCTGAAAATCACCCTCCTAGGATGAACTTCTGAAACATAAAAGCAAATCTGAAAACGTATTAAACATTTATGACTGTCACAATCCTCTCAACCACAATCACAGCAGGCCAGTCTTTCGGGCTCAACACTTTAGTGAGGGACAGTGTGTCCACTACATCAGCTGCCAACATGCTCCTATAGTCAATGAGTTTCTGTGGAGGTTCTAAAACACGGCCCCGAATTTTTTCAATGGACCGAGAGGCAGGGTCTGTCTCTCTCTGCTCTTCTGAGTCTGGGCAGGTTTGTGACACCTTCCACCGACTGAGTAGAGCAGAAGGGAGGCTGGGGTATAAGAGGCAGTGTTTGCTGAAATGCTCCCTGGGGAGCCTGAGACCCCTGAGAAGTCCCAATGTCCTGAGGCAGCCGTGCTCGGAGGCCGGTGAGCTGGTAGCTGAGCCCAGCCTCTGAGCCGCTCCAGCCCAGGTGCCAGACGTGTGAGTAAAGCAGCTTCCCTACCCCTTGTCTCTGTCCAGCGAGTCCCTCCATCCTTTAGATCTTCCAGCTGAGGACCCCGACATCACGGAGCAGAGCCAAGCAGTCCCTGCTGCTCCCGTTTGACTTTCTGAGCCACGGAATCCACGAGCATCATAAGATGGTTGCCATTGCACACCACTAAGTTTGCGGTGGTTTGTTATGCAGCCACGGAACTGGAACCGCTGCCCACGTGATACCGCAGGATTTAAATAGTGTTACTTTTCCTGCAGAAACGAAAATCCACTCCTTGCTTGCACCACTACTTGAACGTTCATGGTAATTATTTCCGATCATCACAATCATTGTTAATCATGGTGGCATTTTCCTTGTAAGATAACTATTGTGAAAGGCTGAACGTTTCTCCTTCCGCTTGACTGGGAGGACGCCAACTTAAGAACCGCGTGCGGAGCTTTCCATTGCAACTGACATCCAGAAGTCTTTTCTATATTTGCAAATGAATATTCAGCTAGAGGCACTGACTGTGAATGCAAAGCCTTGCTTGTGCTGCTGATATGGTTACATTCGGTGGGCCAAATCCTTCTGGCTCAGAGATGCACACCAGTGACTCAGAAGTTTAGAGTTCGGATAGTCAACTTTTCTGAAGACCAAGACCCCAGCAGAACATCAAGACAACCCTGGATTGTCGTTATGGTTCTAATACCTGTGTGGCTCCTTGGGGAGGGGGGGCAAGATTGGTGGGGGCAGGAGGAGAAACTGAGGCTCACAGACCCCTGGCAAACACAGGAAGCTGGTTTGACATGGCTGTCGAGTGAATCATGGTCTCCCTTAGCTGCCTCCCTGCCTCCAAGAGAGCAATAATGGTGGCGGATGCCAGAGTGGCCCCCTGGTTGACCTGTTTCTGGTGGACCTGTTATTGGCTTTTAATGCCCAAACATCCACTAGATCCCCTAGAATAGGGCTGCCTCCTCTCAGGTCCCCCAAGGCAGGCCATGCCCTCTTTTGTCCCCTGCAGAGCTGGGTCAAGTCTGCTCAGACCAGCCCCCTCCTGCCAGGGTAAGCTGTGTCCCCTTAGGCCCTCCAGGACATGGTTGTATCTGTGCAGGACCCCCACCGTGGGGCCGTGTTCTCTCAGAATCCCTGAGCTTCATAAAACACAGGCACTGTTCATTTTTCAGCTAATTACAAAATTCTAACAAAACAATGTGTGAGCCAAGTCTCAAATGAACATCTCAGATAGGATGGGTAGGACCGTGCAGCCTCGTGCAGACGTTTGGAAAACCTGCCTGGAGCTTGCAAATGAGATTGGACGGTGGTGGGGGTGGGTGGTGGATCCAGAAGGACAAAGCAATGGTGGGCATCAGCCACGCTAAGAGTTTGGTATCCAGGGAGTGATGCTTGGAGCATTTTCCAAACAGTCTGTAATTCGAAGGCACTTTCCTGTGTCTATGTTTTAGGAAATTGCTTGGGTGCATGCAGTTGATAGGCAACACACTATAATTTTTCTCACTGGAAGTCATGGGAGACAGGCTCTGGTGAGCATTTTCCTGCAGACCAGCTGGTTTTCAGCAACACGTGGACTATTAGGGCAGAAAACGCTCAATTTCTCCCAGTTTAGGGGCAGCAGCACCCCCTGGTGGCAAACACAGGAAACACCCCCGGTGGCCGGCAAGCCTCCATGAGATCTGCAGATGCTCTAGGGAACAGAGTGGGTCCCAGGGGAAGCTAGGACCCAACCTCCAGCCCTGATGAAGGAAGGGGCAGGGCGTCTCAGGCTCTGCTCATGTGGCCTGGTACTCCTGTCTCCACCCTACAGGGTCCGGTTTCTTGTGTTGGCCTATGGTGAATGTCTCCCCCCACCAACACACACTGGGCATCTACATCCCTTTTTTTAGAAAAAGCACTCCATTTTCCTTTGGGGAACCCCCTACGCTGAAGTCATATAGTTCTTGATGGTCAACCCCCTGACTCCATGCATCACATGCACCGTGATTTGATGAAGGATGAGCCTATGACCCAAATCTGCCCAGTGAGAGCCAGGCCTGGGCCTTCCTTGCTGTAGCTATTGGGAGAAAAGCATTTCCTTTCCACTGGGGCTGCTAAGTGGTCCATGGCCTATCAGCCTAGCGTTTGGGTGGGTGGGGGACATCTCTGTCTCTGGTTGTAGGGGAGGCTTCTTGCAAATAAAGCTTTTCTCTGTACAAAAGCAGATTTTGGAGAGGAAATGAGGCAGTCTTGACGAAAAATATTTGAGCAGCTGGATCCAGCAGTACCTGAAGCCACTTGCGCCGGGGCATTTTCAGTTAAGTGAACCAATTAGTTTTTTTTTCTCTTAAGCCAATGAGAATTGGAGGATAACGCTCCCTGCCTGATTTGTGCTAGACCCTAATTTCTCTCTTCCCTCCTGGACAAATGTCCTCATTGCTGTTTACACTTGCAAACTCAGAGGCCATGTTAATCAAAACCATCTTTATTATTTAAAGAGCATCCTGTCATCACGGGCACCTAGATGGGGGTCCCCAGATGGCAGAACAATATTTACATGGGGGTCAGGAGGGTGAGGCTCGGGTGGTCCCAGGGCTGAGTGGGCCCGCCACTGTGGAAGAGAGGAGCCTGGAGGGAGGGTATCCTTGGACCTGTGGGCTCAGCCCAAGAAGAGAAACATCCCATTCCGGGCCCAGGGTGAACCCCACCAGGTGGGGCTGGAGCCACCTAGGTGAACTTGGGCCCTGGAGGCGTGTGCATCAAGGAGAAGCCACAGGTCAGAGCTGGGTCACCATGCCGCTGGCTTCGGAGTGAGTCTGGAGAAAGACAACTGGGGGCTTCTGAGGTCTGAGAGGCTTCCCCAGTCCCACAGCTAACCTCCCCTCCCCACAAGCCCTTGGAAATCCATCTGTCCCCTAGGGCACCATCTTCTGGCCTGAGCACAGGTGTCCAGAAAACCCCTGCCTCCTCCCCTTTCCCCATTAGAGTCCCAAACACTCCCGCCCTCTGGCTCCCATCTGGGCCTGACGTTCACCTTTATGGCCTGGAAGATCCACTCCCGGAAGTCACTGACTTTGGTGTAGACACCCGGCTTCTGGGCCAGAGCACAGCCGGTGCCCCAGCTCACGATACCACATAGCCGCCAACGTAGCGTCCGAGAGATGCTGTCCTCACACACGAAGGGGCCACCGCTGTCACCCTGGTGTGGGGAGGGGAGGCCGGGCTGGAGGCCAAGAGGGCATCCGGGAGGCCCTCTTGGATGGCCAGGGGCTGTGGTCACGGAGCCCTCTGGCCCTGAGAGAGGGAGCCCGGCCACCCACTGCCCTGTGTCTCCATCCCTGCAGTGGCAGGCGCTCGGGGCTGCCCCCCACAGTGCCTCACCTGGCAGGCGTCAATGCCACCCTCAGGGTAGCCGGCACAGAACATCTTGGGCTTGATCTGGTTCGCGTAGAAGTCGGGGCCATTGCAGACCTCACTGCTGATTATGGGGACTCGGGCCTCCTGGAGTACCCCAGCCTGTTGGCCTGGGGGTGTGCGGGCAAGGCTGGCCGAGGCTGGGGAACAGGCGCGGCCCCCTTCCCTCCTGCTGCACCCCGCCCCCCCCCCAGGCTCTTCAGCGTCCCTGGGCCCCAGGGCCAAGAAGCATTTGCCTTTCCAGCCAGACTGCCTTTCCCCAGCCCAGTTCCGTCTCCCTCACGGCGGCTCCGCCGGCAGAAGACGGGACTCACCGTAGTACTGCGTGTTGCCCCAGCCGGTTACGGTACAGATCTTGCCGTCCACCAGGGCCTGGCCGGCAGCCGGGAGACACACAGGCTGGATGTATTCTGGGAGAGAGACCAGGCGGTCCAGCCCCTGCCGGCCTGCCCCGCCTGGAACAAAGCCTCTGTCCAGCAGCCTCAAGGGCCCCGGCGCACCCTCTCCTCTGTTCTTCTAAAATAACCACAGCAGGGGGCACCTGGGTGGCTCAGTCGTTCAGCGTCTGCCTTCGGCTCGGGTCGTGATCCCAGGGTCCTGGGATGGAGCCCCGCATCGGGCTCCCTGCTCGGCGAGAAGCCTGCTTCTCCCTCTCCCGCTCCCCCTGCTTGTGTTCCCTCTCTCGCTGCTCCCTCTCTCTCAAATAAAAATGTTTCAAAAAAATAAAAATAAAATAACCACAGCAGGAGCTGGATGTCCTCCTGCCTCAGTTCCTCCAAACTCCTGTCAGTCCAGAGAGCGAGGGGCTACTATTAGCTCATTTAGAGGAGGGAGATGAAGCTGAGTCACTTATCTGAGGTCTCATAACGAGGCAATGACAGAGCTAGAATTTGGACCCAGGTTGGCCAGATTCCCAAGCCTGCGTTCTTAACCGTGGCCCACAGGCCGCCCCCCGCCTAGAAGGTGCCTTTGTGAGAAACAGAAAGGCATCCCTATCTTGAGATACTTGATGTCCATCTGCCAGAAGATCATTGTACTAGGTACACAGGTCTACACCAACAACAGTGAGAATGGCGCCCCTAAGATGTGATGTCCTTGTGCAGTGCGCAACCTACACAAGAGGTCCTGGCAGTTCTGTCTTCAGCCTGCCTGCTGGCGACTTTGCAGGCCTGAGCATCAGAGCTCTCAGGTATAAAATGGACAGAATAATCATTTCCCTCAGAGGTTGTGGTGAGAAACTGGTGAAGCCCTGAGCAGCACACTTGGCAAACAGGAAATGCTCCCATAACTAGTAATAGTAATAAACAACAACAGCAATGACTGCTCGCGTTAACTGAGTGCTCATCTGTGTGCTGGCATTGCTCTAAGCTCTTTACTCATATTACCCTTCTTTTTAAAAGACTTTATTTATTTATCTGAGAGAGAGCATGAGCCGGGGGAGGGGGGCGGGGAGGGGAGGGGCAGAGGGAGAAGCAGGCTCCCTGCTCTGTGGGGAACCCAACGTGGGACTTGATCCCAGGACCCTGGGTTCATGACCTGAGCTGAAGGCAGCTGCTTAACCAACTGAGCCACCCAGGCACCCCTCATATTACCCTTTCAATCATCTTGATAACTCTAGGAAGTCATTTAATGGATCAGGGAAACTGAGGCACAGAGAGGTGAAGCCAAGATTACATAGCTGGCAAGTACCCGAATCTGATCCCAAGCTCTATGCTTTTACCCCCTCAGCCGTGTGTCTCCCACCCCAACCCCCTGTGCTTCCATGGACACTTCTCTACGTCACTATTTGGAACCCCTCCCTAAAGACAAGGGTTTGTTTCATTTTAAATGTGTATCATCCCCTTCGATGGAGAACCAGGAACACGGATCATTCAAAAGAAAATAACCATAAAGAGAAGTAGAATGCAAGCCACAGAACGGTCCCAGCAGCAAAGCCTGGGGGTTACACGCACAGACTCCCACACCAGGCGGCCTCGACCCAAATCTTCGCCATTTTCCAGCCGCGGGACTTCGGAGCAACATTTACCTTCTCTGCGTGGGGGCCTCTCCCTCTGTGTGGGAACACAGGACCCTAAGAGGATCCACCCTCCCAGGGCTGCTGTGGGGACTGAATGCGTGCAGGCTGGGGACATGCAGAGAACAGGGCCTGGCACACAGGAGGTGAGGAGCGAGTGTTGGTGCTAGGACATCATCACTGGGATAGTATCGTATCGTACTATTTCATTATCGTTATACCGATGCCCGCTGAAGGCTCATCATCATCCGCTACTATGACTTCATCAGCATCGTTTTTATTAATACTGTTGTCACCCTGCGGCCTGCTGAGAGCCGGCTCTCAATCCAGGGCATGCGGTGTGCAGTGGAGAAGCGCTAAAGACATCCTAGGCCCCAAGGGAGTCTTTCTCCCTGAGAGCGAGGAAATGCTCCGGAAAACTGCGAAGGGAACATCTTCTGATTCCCTCTCGGGTTCATTCATAGATTTTAAAAGTTTCCTTCAGGGGCACCTGGGTGGCTTAGTCGTTAAGC